GCACATTTACCCTATAGCAAAACACTTGACGTCAACGCAATTGAAACGTTTCAGTGAATATATTGATGTCTTTTCATCCGCACTTGTCAGTACCGCTGACGTTATTCGTATACATCTTGATATGATATGACATAACCTGCTCGTCACTCTTTCACAACTCGATGTCAATCCAGCAGAACTATCTTTGGTGATGCGACAAACCTGGGGCACCGTAAATTTGTCTGCTTTCGACCAGTGGACTTTTTCGTTCCCCAAATGTTTATTCGATTATCTCCAAGTTCAACGTGATTTTTCTGTCCTCGCGAAATGAATTTCGTTCGTGTCAATCGATTTTCTTCTCTGCCTTTTGAAGTAAAACGAAACTGATTTGTACGACTGGCAGACGCGATTTAATCAAGCGTGTCTGCGTACTGATATTACGATTGAGGTTCATCGGTACAAGCACATGTAAATTGACACCACTGTTGTTCGTAAGAGCTGTCGAGAGATGTGGTTAGTCTTCAAACAGCTTTGTGGTAGAAGGATAAACAAGTATCCCCATGTTAAATACCGAAACAATATATGGGCTGTTTTGTTCGAAAGAAATATAGTCCACCCCGAAACCCGTTTTCTGATGGTGTACACCCCACTGGGGTCACGACAGTGCTGAACGAACTTTGAAAGTCTGGTAAGCTATTGGCCACGATCCAATTTCACCGGAGCTGCTGAATGGATGCGCCGAGCCCGATGCTCATACGTGCAAGTGATGTATGTCCGCTAGATTGTTTAGCCACAGCTGAGAGCCTGTACAGATAGCCCCCGGTTCCAGTAAGTGCCGCCTTATAGGTTGCATCGCTACGCCTTTGAGAATGTACTACTCAAATGAACGCCACCAGTAATAGGTTTGAACGACTCTTTCAAATCATACCAAAGAATCAATTTATACACTTCAATAAGAGCGTATTGAACAAATCTCATAGTGGTAAAGGGGGAAATATAATCCAGCAATTAGAAACAGCAAAACGGATAAAAATCTACAACAAACAATGGCAGACCAGGGTATTAATCAATGATTTAGATTTTCTGCAATGAATCCATGGTTTATGAGAAATTTTGATAAGATGCGGGATAATAGAGTCCATGCAAGTTCTAGTATATGCCTTTATAATTTTGAGATAAGCATGAATGTGTGAATAAGAAAGGCACTAACTAAGAGCACAATGCAGGAGTGGGGAACAATCAGATCAACATTTTCTGTGAAAACGTTTTGCAGATTTTGCGATGAAGTCTTCTCACATGATGTGTCAGCTATTCCCGTGGTATATGACTAGCTGTGCTACAATCCTGTTTTGTCATATCTCATTAAAATTGAAGGATGTTTTATTATTATGGCCTTTGTTCAATCGATAGACCAGATCGGAATGACTTCTGGTTTAGCTCTGTCACCGAATAACACCACAAGTTGTTTTCAATTGGACTTAATTCCCCCGGATTTCAAAATTCACAAAGAGGCACAATCGAGACGGGTGGTAAATTGTTCTTAATTGCACCCCTCTGTCGAAAATATCTGTCCCATCACTACTGAGTACAAACCAACGTTCTTTGTTCACGAAAACCTCGGATTTATCACTTAATCTCTGCTCCCGGATTCACGTTCATACTTGTCTGATTTACACTAAAGAACCTTAGCTGAACCCGCATTTTTCCGACGCGTTGGCATTCATCGATAGGTTTAACCTGTAGCGGCAGGACA